AAAAACCAGGGACAAACCTCCTGTAGTACCCATCCAGGCCTAGAAAAGCTCTGACCTGGAGAATGGTATTTGGAACAGGGTAATTCTTTACAGCAATAATTTTTTCAGGATCAGGTCTCACCCCATTCCTGTCAACAAGGTGGCCAAGAAACTTAACCTGAGACTGAAACAACTTACATTTGTCCAATCTAAGTTTCAGACCATGCTGCCAAAGCCTCTGGAAAACAGTTTTGAGATGTTTAACATGGGAAGAAAAATCTGGTGAGTATATAATATTGTCATCCAAATAGACCAAGGCAGAGTCTGTAAGTTGGCCACTTAAGCATTGCTGCATTAAACGCTGAAATGTGGCGGGAGCATTACAAAGCCCAAACAGCATGCGTTCAAACTCAAAGAGACCAAGTGGTGAGGTAAATGCAGTCTTCTCTTTGTCTTTAGGATCCATCTCCACCTGCCAGTAGCCACTGGCCAAATCCAGCGTTGAAAACCATTGAGTATTTGTTAAAGATGTCAAGGTCTCCTCAATCCTGTGTGTATGCTATGCTGGACCAAGTCTGTCCTCCCGACATCTTCTTCATCCACAGAAAACACCTTTCTCCACCTCTGCACAGGCCTGGAGCTCCACCTTCTGCTGTATTCCTCGGCGGCAGGCAGGTTGAACAAATCCAAGGGAATCCCCTTCCTCCTTAGCGGTAGAAATCCTCTGGCAGGTGGCAAATGCCTCATCCCAGACCTGGTGTGGCTTCCACTTCTGTGGGGGCAGGGCTGACGTTCCACCTTTGAAAACAATGTCCCAGCAAGCGGCAATAACATTCATGCCCACAATGAGTGGGTGGATAGAACAGTCATCTTTTACAATGACAACACCTTTGTCTGGTATTTTAAATCCTTCGACCTCAAAGTCCATGATAGCATACCCAGAGTATGGGATGGTGAGGCCATTGGCAGCTTTTAAACCAAAGGTTTGTCACTTCCCATTTGAGGAAAATGGGAATCCATGACTTTTTGTTGGACCAATGTCACTTGAGAGCCAGTATCCAGCAAAGCTGTCATTCTCACTCCACCCACAGATAACTCTATGGTAGGACATGTACCAATGAATGGTGCTGTGGCCCCTTGATCATTAGTTATACAACCCATCCCCACTGCCTGGGCCTCAGCAGCAGGGTTACTTAGTTTCAAGCTGGCTGTTCTCCATCAGGTGCTTGGCAAAACCTGGCAATATGGCCTGCTCGCTTACACTGCCTGCATATTGGCTGTCCATCTCTGGTCCAGCCACGGGAATACCCAGGCTGTCTTTGTGGTAATCTTGACACACCTGAAGCAGCAATATCCCCCTGACTTTGTTGTAAAAGAGGTCTGAACTCATTAATTACTTCTTTTGCCAAATCTTTCATTTGTTCTTTCAGATCATGCATTATTTCCTTTTTTAAATCTTCTTTCCAGTTGCAGTCAGACAATGGGCGCTTCTGCGTTGACTCACCTACTGCATAACACATACTCTGTAGTCTATGGGAGCCGTTATGTTCCTCTTTAAGCTGCAGTGCCTCCCAATGAACAGCAACAAAGTCCTCTCTAGGATTATGTCGCACATAGGCTCGGAGTGTGTGGGACAGGGGACCCTCACAAAGGCCAAGCAGCATCTGGTCGAATAAGTTTGCGTCGGTAGGTGCATCAGATGGGCTGTGCTGCCGCAACCTGCAGCACAGTTCTCTCAACCTTAAAGTAAAGGACTTCACAGATTCATCAGGTTTCTGAATACAACCAAAGAATTGTGACCTTAACACAGCAACTGGAGTATTATCACCATACAATGTGTCCAAATGATTAAAAATTTTACGGACCTGATCTCGCTCAGTGTCATCTAAAATATTTACCGGCTGCTTCGCTTCTCCAGCTACAGCCCCTATTAAAATGTCCACTTTCCTTGACTCTGTCAATTCTTGAGCATTTAAAAGTCCATGCACTTGTTCTTTCCAGTCCACATATTTTAGTTCATCTTCAATCCCTTTGTACTTAGGCACCCAAGGTGCACCCTGGCATCATCATGTTGTGCCCTTGTGTGGATATGAGTGTTGCTCCCTACTTGTGTCTTGCCAGCAACGCCAAAATAAAGCTGTGACCAGCATGGCCCCACACTCAGTCGTTGACACAAGGGGGAGCAAGCAACTCAAAAACCCAAACTGTGAAGCACTTAAGTTCAAGTGTTTTATTTATACAAAAAGCCACAGAAAAAGTGGCATGATAAAACAGTCCTTTTCTTTTCCTGATAAAACCTAAAATTCAAGAGTTTTACTTAAAAATCAGAGGCTGGAAGTTGGGCTCCGCTTGTTATGCTGCCTCTGTTGCGGGCGATGTGTCTGCAGCGCGCCCTTTGACTGATCCACAGCTGACTCTGCAGCGCTCCAGCACTGTTCCACTCTCTGGCGTGCCACACCCCTTTCCAGACCCTTGAACACCTCTGTCTGATGTGCGTTTGGAAAAACCAGCTTTGTTGATGTTTGTTGATGGTTCAGCTTCTTTCACCCCTGGTTTGGTGTTTCTTCTCCTCATGAAACTCTTGTTTCTGGTTCTTTGATTTTGCTTTGCCTTGGAAACATCGTTCTTGAATTCGGATGGAAAGGCTATTTTCTTCTTCCACACAGATTATGTCTGGTGGAAGCAACAGATAAGGCTGTGCTGCAGTGTCTCCCCTTGTTTACATTGCTGCAGGTCCTCCCTCCCTCCTCTGCAGAGGAGAAGTTTGTTTGGATTTCTTTAATTCAGCATGTTGGTAAGTTTGACTCCCAGTTTTCCTCCACACAAGCTCATGATGGGTCGACCCTTTCCTGGATCACAGAACGGACCAGACCACTGACCTCTGGCCAGACTGGGACTGAGAGGTGACACATTAAAATGACCCACAAGACCTTTTTCCCTTAGAGGCGGCTTTACAGAGGGACCATGGTGCCTGGAGACTCTGATCGAGGACCATCTCAGCCATCCTTCAGCACGAGGAGGTGTGGCTCAAAGTCATCAAAAGAAAGTGATCAGAGCTCCTCTGACCTTATCCAGAAGGAACCAGGAAGGACTTCAACAAAACAAATCAGAATAAAGGGGCAGAATAATCCCCTCTGATTGGTTAATTAACACATCAGTAGTCCACCTGATGTGTTGAGGACCAGCTGTTCTGCAGACCACCCATTGAACCTCGTTCAAAATGTCGCCTGTTTAAGGGACCAACATCAACAGAAAGATGAAGACGCCCACCTGAAGATGTCTGACATCAGTTTTGGCTTTTTGATTTTTTAATTATACAACATGAATGAGAAGGGAAATGTGTTGTGATGTGTTGTATTTTAATGAAAGGTGAACATTTTTAGTATCTGAGTGTTTGATATAAGTTTCTTAATACAAAGAAAGTCCAAGTGTTAGATGAGCACCTGATGGCTGATGGTCAGTATTGGCAGAGATTTCTGGATTAGAGAATGAACTCTGATGATCGGGTCATCTCAGCCACCATTGGGAAAAAGGAGCGCTGAGATTAAATCCTCCAACTTTTCAATGTGTGCTTTGACTGAGCCTGATTCTGAAGAGCTGAACTGAATCTGTGTGAAACATCTTTGTGTTATGATTTCAACATTTTGAATAGAGATTGATCCTTTTTTTTTTTTTTTACTGAAGCTCAGATTAATAATTCGACTTACACTCTGTAGAGATGAAGGAGTCTATTGTTTTGACTGATTTGAACTTTTTTTTTCTCAGGGAAACAAAAAGGGTAACTGATAATAAGAACTAAAAATTTAAAATTCTCAGCAAATAGATATTTTACCATAAAAGTATCATCATGGGGAAATACAGTAAATATTTTTGCCAACTAAGATGTGATTCCAGGGCTCTGTTTATTGGCAACACATTTTAGCTATCATAATCTTTTCATGATTTTTCCATCTATTATAATCATTTAACATTGTCTACTGACTTAATGCAGTCATGCATTTTTTTTTTATATATTTCATTTTTTTTAAGTTTATTTTTTTTTGCTTTCTTTACATATATTCACAATTTTAGCTTCTTAGGTTTTATTTTTTTTTTTCCATAAATTTTCCTTTTTTATTTATATCGATTACACAAGGATCGAAAGGGTGGTCTGTTGTCAGAAATTGTTGATTTCCTTATATATTAATTTATCCTATTTACTCACTATAAAAGTTTTCACTCAGTCTGTTTCTCTCTCAAGGCCACACCTTTCTCTGTAGGATGTTGTTTGTAGACCAGACATAGCTTCTTGCCATAACAAACCAGATTCTTTCTCAAGGTTTATTCATAACATGTTACTGTTAACTAAAGTGTGTGTAATTTGTTTTGACTCTGACTACTTTCCATTGTTCTAAGTAAGGGGGAACGAATGCTGCTCTAGGAGAACAAGGCTGAATGCTGTGCGATTAGGACTGTATGATGAACTGTTCTCTCTTTGCTAAAATATGAATAAATGTGAAATCCATCAATCTCCGTTTATTTAAATAAGCACGACACAGTGTTCAGGTCAGTTTCTCTTCTAGACATACTTTAGGCTCCGCCTTTGCTGTGACAGGTTGTCTGTGCCCCAATCATCCTCCTCTGACATGAAACAGTTCAGAGCTCATCTGGTCAACCGTTTGCATCCCAGAGAGAACCACTTATGGTTCTGGTTGCTGTATTCAATGATCACTGCTTGTTATTTTGTTTTTTTCTAAGCCTCTCCAATCCCAGTCGGCCACTCAAGCTGAGCCTAGTTTTGCTGGAAGTTTCTTCAAGTTATGAGTTTTTACTCTGCACTGGTACTGTATGCATGCTCAGTGTGAGGGATTGCTGCAGTCGGTGACAACACAAGCAAATGGCTACTGTTGCCACTTGCTCATCCAGCAGTAGTGGATACTGCTGGATGCAGTCAGCTGGGTCTCCTTTAACTAACCGGTCTGTAAAGTGCCTGAGATGATGTGTTGAATCGATGGTATAACTTGACAAAATGACCAAACTCACTGTCCACAACACGTACAGCAAATACATTTATTTTCATTGTTCAAACAGTGGAAAGTCCTCAGTCAGTTTGAAAGATGATCTCACTAGATAACAATGGCGGCAGGTTATAGGGCTCCTGAAACTTCATAAATATTAGGGTTGGCTGAAGAGGAGCTACAGGGATCTGACTTTGCTGTAGAGGATTATTTCCGTTGAACTTGTGTGAAGGACGAGGGCAGCTGGATGGGCTGGACGGGCTGGAACGGTAGGGGGGGTTTCTTACGGGAGTCTGGGGAAGATCTGTGAACAGCAGTGGGCAATAGCTGGTTCCTCTTGATAATCTGCAGAGCCAGCTGAGTGTTCCCTGAAAACAAAAAACAATTCAGGGACGCCGTAAACACAGACAAGAGGATTTACACATTTAGTTACAGTTGTCACCAACTATAAAAACCGTTTGACATCTGTGCTGGCCAATAATGGCTTTTCTACAAGATATTAACTTGCTTTTTGTCCAGGGGGTCAAATACTTGTTTTTCCTCATCAGATGGTTATCAATTTTAATAAATTCATATGATGTGAATTTTTGAAATTTTCTTTGGGATTCTGTCTCTGTTAGAATGTACATATGATTAAAATGGTAGAATGTTGCATTCTTTGTAAGTGGGCAAACCTGCAAACTCAGCAAGGGGTCAAATACTTATTTCCCCCACTGTAAGAAGAGTGTGGCCACCCATCCATTCTTCTGCAGGGCACACAGAGGCCATTTCAGTTGATCCTATAATTCCCACTGGCTCTGTGAACACAGCCATTCTCTCTAAAATACAGATGGATTCTATTTTTGTTGGAGCAGAACGCATTAATTAATCAAATCCAGATGAGCTAGACAGGAGGTCTGGAATTCAAAGACAAAGAGGATGTGGTGCATCTCAAACTAGGAGGCTGTCTAGATGCAGGAACTGATCCTTCATGCATCAGGTGTGGATTGAGTCCCTCTAACTTTTGTGCTCATCATTATTAGCTGCAGAAAGTAGTCAGAATGAAGCAGGCCTGACTGGGGACAGTACAGTGAAACACAGCTTATCACCCCTCCCCCAATAAAATTAAAAAAATCTTACACAAACTTCTCAGCTCACTT